GGCACCATCACACACACACACTCAGGTGCACGCACCCCACACTCAGCCCCGACTCAGCCCCGATATACAGCTCCACATATGCAAATGGGCAGAGCTAGAAGTGAAGGGGAGGGGAAGAGGAAGAGCAGGATGGAGGCCCAGAGATGGAGAGCCTGGGCACCCAGGAGAGGAATGCCACAGGGAGCGGTGACAGCGGAGCAGGGGGTGCCTGGGGTTGTGGCCACCTTGGGGGGCCGTGGTGAAGAGCTGGAATGAGAACCCAGGGAGGGTGGAGCCAAGTCTCCAGTCTGGGCCACTCTGCTCCCCTGAAACTCCTGCCACCCCTCCCGGAGGCCTCCAGGACTGCTTCTGGGGTGTGGCCCTGGTAGCCAGTGTCACTGTTCAGTGCCAGCCTGGACTTTACACCAGCTCAGCTTGGGAACCAGCCTTCTGGCTGCTTCTGGATCACAGCCATAGTCTTGAAGCGTTGCTCTCAGGAATAACCTGCCTCGTGCCTCAGTTTCCTCTTCCATACAATGGGGACAAGAACAAGAGCCTACTTAGAGGGCTGGAGTGGAGTGCAGTTAGCTGTGACACATGTGAAAATGCTGAGCGTAGCTACTTCTCCTCTGCTGCTGACTTTTTCGTTTGTTTAGTTTTGAGACAGGGTCTTGTTATGTAGCCCAGGCTGGCCTTGATCTCAAGATGATCTTCCTCCCTCAGCCTCCCAAGTACAAAGATTACAGGCGTGAGCCACCACACATGGCTGTCATTTTAGTAACCAACTATAGAAATGATCCCTGAAAGTACAGCCTTTGGCTGTCATTTTAATAAAACAAGCACCTACCAATGCGCTGGGAGCTTCGAAGAATCCCTCACCAGCCCTACACAGGGAAATTGAGGCTCTGGGACATTACTAGCATAAGTTCACCCAGCTACAAAGTGGTAGGGCTGGGATGTGACTGCAGGTCGCCTGGCTCCTGGGTCTGTGAGGGGCAGCAGTGAGGTCCTAGTGTCTGTGAGTGTGACCGTTTGCATGAGAGTAACAGTGAGAAGTACAGCTTCGGAGTCCTGCACTCTGTACAAAGAGCACAGCTCCATTAGGCCCTTGGAGTGACCCTCACCAGTCTGGGCCTGCTTCCTGCCTCTAAATGGTAGAGCTTACCGCCTAGGAGTGTCATGAGAATTAAGAAAGTTAACCTTGAATATTGTCACAAAGGTCACCATGATGAGCCAGGGGTGGTGGCCCTCGACTGTCAACCCAGCACTCCAGGAGGCTGAGGCAGGAAGATCACCATGAGTCTGAGGCCAGGCTGGGCTACATAGTGAATTCAAGGCCAGTCCAGTCTGAACTACACAGGGAGACCCTGTCTCAAAAACCAACCAACCAACCAACCAAACAAACAAACAAAAAACAAAAACAAAAGCAAAACCTAAAACCAAAAGCCAAAAAATAAACAAAAACTTCAAAATTCACTATGAGAGGGAAACTTACAGCCAGGTGTGCTAGTTCACGCTGTAATGCTGGAATGCCAGCCACTCAGGAGGCTGATTCAGAAGAATCACAAGTTCAAGGACAGCCTAGGGAACTTTAGTGAGAACCTGTCTCAAAGTAAAATTTAAAAGGGCTGGGGGAGTAGTTCAGAGGTAGGGTGCTCTGGGTTCCGTCCACAGTACCACACACACGCACACACACAAAGATGCGCACTTGTGAGGAACTCATTTCTGCTCTTGTTGAATTGTATGCATGGTTGTTTGGCAGGGTGTGTGGATGCTGGTCTGAGTGTGTGTGTGCGCGTGTGTGTGTGTGTGTGTGTGTGTGTGCATGCGCACACCCACACACGGCCCCTGATGTCTTCATCTCCGGGTGTTGTGTGAACAAATGAGTCTGTGTGCACCTACAGTAAGTTCTAGGGTCCCTGTGTGTTTTGAGGCCTGTCCCTGTCCCTCTCTGGCTGTACCCCTGAATTCTCCGTCTCCTTGTGTGTTGAGAGCACACGTCACATGTTGCGGGAGCCACGTGACTGTGTAGATATGTGTCTCCAAGAAGCTGCTTCTGTGTGGCCATTTTTGCTGCTCCATGTGGCATTTGTCTGAGCGCCCACGGATGACCCCCATAGGCTCACTGTACATGACAGTGGCTTTGTGGGTGTGTGCAGCACCTGAGTTGGGGTATGAAGGTCTTTGAGCAGCCAGAGTGGGTGTTTTTGTGTTGGAGATGAGGGGCTTAGACAGGACAGTGGGATGAGGGGGTCACTCCCTGTCTGTTGTTGGTGCCGACTCATTGCTTGCTGGTGGCTGCTGTGTCATCCTTATCCCTGTCCCTCCCTCCTGACTGGTAGCAGACAGAGGGGGTGTGAGGGAAGCAGGTAGAGGGTGGTTTGAGTCTAGGCTTTTGTCTGGAAACCTCAACAGCCCATTAGTGCCCCTCAAACCCCTCCAACCTTCTATGGCTCCCTAACCTCTCCCCACTACTGGAGTAGAGAATCAAGACTTCCCTGGAAATTAGGAGCCACCCCCTGTGGGCCAGGTTGTGCAGCAGGAGGGGGTACTGGGGTCTCTGCTTGTGCAGTAGTTGGTGGCATCCTTCCTGCTGGGTGCTTAAGCATTGGGGGCTGTGGCATCAGAAACACCTACGTGGTGGCACTATCTGTAATTACACTATCTGTGAGGCTGAGGCAGGAGGATCACAAGTTTGAGTACAGTGTGAACAACTTAGCAACTTAATGAGACCCTCTCTCAATAAATAAAATAATAAAAAGGGGCAATATATATATATTATAATATTATAATATTATA